GCCCCGTCCCTGTGCCTTTAGAAGGTGTGTTCACCCCATTGTGGTGGGGTTGAGGGAGACAGAAAACAGCCCTGAGGAGTGAACGGGAGAAGGGTGGGTTGGAGGGGCACAGAGGGCAGACAACAGGGAAGGAACCAGGCAAATTTTGCTCACTTCTCAGTTAACTCTGTTTCAGAAACACATGGAAAAAAAACACCCCACTTTGGGGTTGCTGACTTTAAAACATGGTGCCTAGCGCAGTCAAAGTGCTTGGGGTTTCAAAATTCTGGGCATGTGTCAGCCCCATTCGGTCAGGATTGCTTCCTTCCCTCTGACAAGCTAAGAAACCATGAAAGGCATCCGATCTTTCCTGCGTTAGCTGCTCCTAATATTCATTCTCTGCCAAGCACAACAGGAGATAAATTCCCAAATTCAAGTAAATTAGACCTTGGTTGACTCCCACCCTCCAGTGGATCACTATTCAGTTCTGCCTACAGAATGCCTTTCCAGCTTGATGCTCCTTAACCTCCCCCACGCTGGTGCTTCTGACCCTCTTCATCCCTCAGCGGCTCCTAGTGACCTCCAGCCTTCAGCCAGACCCTTCCATGCCCGACTTCTCCACTTTTCTCCATCCTCAATGCCTAGCATGCATATTGACACTCAGTATATATTTGATGGTGAATGAATGAATGAATCAATGGTCAGGGAATGCCAGTGTGTCAGCCACGGTTTACTTTATTATAAGTAATATAAATTCATTCAAGTTTCATAAATAAAGACATGTCAATTTATCAGCACTTTATGGAGTGATAGCACCCTGGGGAGTAGGAGTGAGGGAATGAAACGTGGAGGGGGGAACGAGGAGGAGCAAATACAAGGGGGCCATGGAGCCAGCCGCAGCCTGACAGCAAGCTCAGTCTTGTGGAGGTCACATCATCTCCTGCATCTCCCCCAAATCCTTGAAACCCACCAACAAGAGGCTCTCGGGGAAAGAAAGGGAGAAGAGTGCCTGCCGTCTACCTCCCACCCCACCTCCTCTAGTCAGCATCCGGTCTACAAAGGGTTAATGCGCTCACACTTCCGCACCCAGTGGCTTCCTTGGGGAAACTGTTGCTCCTGGTCAGTTGAAACCAGGGGTGGGGCTCGGGCCACCTGTCACCTGTAGCGCTGTCCTGACCTACGGCGGTGGGAAAGGTGCACACCTGCCAGGTCCCTCAGGCCGGAAAGCCAGGCGGGGGGCCAACACCCTGAGATGGGCAGCTCGGCCTGGCCATGTCAGTCTGGGGGATGCAGAAAGCGGATGGCAAGGCTCTTGTCACCCAGTGTGAGGCTGAGCTAAGGGTCTGAGTCTGTCCTCACTCAAAGCTCTTGCATTTTTGTCATTCAGGGATGTCAGCTGGGAGGTGCACGGTGAAGAAATAAATGGTTGTAGACAATATGAAAAATCCTCCCTACATGCAGAGCATGTCCTGCCCATGGACGTGTGTCTGTGGATACGTGTCCATACACGAATGCACACATCCATAGGCATGACAACCAGAACGCCTTGTCTCCGTTCTGTTCTCTCCTTAGGAGCTGGGATTCGGGACAAGGCCTGAGCTCGGGGGAGCAGGGAACCACTGGTTCCAAGTGCAGGGAGAGAAGCATCTCCTAGACATCCCGTCCTGCCCCCTTCCCTCCCTTCCTGCCCCCTTCCCTCCCCACCCCGGACCTTCAAGGAGTCTGGAGGGATGTGATCTGCCCCACACGCGACACAGAGCCATAACCCGACAATCCACCCTCATGTGGCCTTCCCACTCTCCTATTCCTGTCTCTTTCTCCTTTCCTCCGACTCTTCCTTTACCCTCCTTCCGATTATGGTACAGCCAACGAGGGAGAAAAGACCCCGTGCCTGCCTCGGGGGCTCAGGGGGCTCAGGGGGCTCAGCGCGCGGAGGAGGAGGCTGACCCAGAAGATCAACGAGTCAGTGCTCAGCAGAGAAGGTTGCAAAGTACTAAGGAGCCCAGGGGAGAGGCAGTATCCAGTTTTTCTTGTGTTGTATTGTGTGCGTGAGTGCGACAGCGAGTGTGGGTCTGGGTGCCTCTGTGTTGTGTGTGTGTGGGGGGTGAGCGTCTGTGTGCCGTGTGTGAGTGTGAGAAGGAGAGAGAATGCAAAGATCGTGTAAAGCATTCCAGCATATGAATACACTACAGTTTCTTTATTTTCTTCTTGGTGGGCTGTTTCTAGTTTTTGCTTTTTATGAATAGTGCTGCTGGGAACATTTTTGTACATGTTTGGCTACACGGATTTACTGGTAATTTATTGATGCGAACGAACCATCCCAAAATGAGTGGCTTAGAACAGTAACCACTTATTCGTTCCTGTTTCTGCAACTTGGACCAGGCTCCGGAAACCTCCGCCGGCCTCACCTGGGTTCCTTCCCACAGTTGTACCCAGCGGGGGGCCGGCTGGCTCACACCGCGGCGGTCAGCGGGGCTGGTCAGCTGGGGCTCCATGTGTTCCTGCCGGCAGGACAGCCCACATGTCTTTCCGAGGTAGGAAATCGGAAGCTGCAAGAAGCCTTGCCTCGCAAGTCACACACGGTTACTCTGGCTGTTTCCTTGGTCAAAGCAGGTCTTGACGGGAGGAGGGGCAGTAACTCTTTGCAGGCGCTCTGAGATGGGAGGACTTTGTGGCCACGCTTTTCCGTCTACCACAGATATAAGCCCGGGCACAGAATCACCGGGTCGGAGGGGGCTGGTTTGTGCCCCCACCAACAGGTTCCTGTTGCTTTGCGCCCTGATCCATCCCTGGTATTAGACCAGCCGGTCTAATTTCAGCCACGTTGAATTAGACACCATGTGTAGTGGTATCCCTCTGTGCTTTAATTTGATTTTCTCTGACCGCTAATGAGGCTGAGCACCTTTTTATGTGCTTATTGGCCATTTGCGTATCCTCTTTTGGAGGAAGTGATTTGTGGGAGTTCTTTATATAGCCTGGGTATGAGTCAGTTGTAATCTCACTCCGCCCTGCTGCTTCGATCCTGAGTGATTCTCCTCTTGATTAAAAAGGAAGTAAGATTTGAGCTGAGGTTTGCAGGATGATGAATAATTAAAGAAGAGCAGGGGGCCTTGCCGTCAGAAACATGAAGAGTGCTAAAAGGGACAAAAAAGTCGGGCATTTGAGAAGCAGCCTGATTTGAGGTAGACGTGTGCCGGGGATGGGAGCAGCAGTGGGTGATGCTGGGGAGAGCTGGGCCGGAGGCGAGGGGCCTTCGATGGAGCAGGAGACAACGTTTTTCGCTGCTCATTCCCTCTCCCTTATTCACCACGTGGAAATCCTGCTTCAAATGGCCAGCGTGTGGGGACAGACACACCTCACACGCCAGACCTTCATGAAGTGCTCTTATTTATGTAGGACCAGAGAGGAGAGGGGATGGTGGAAACAGAAGAGAAAGGCCATACCTCACGCTCGCACACACACCCCCATACACACACCCACGTGCACGCACACGTCAGTAGCAGCCTGAAGAAGGAAGCACAGAGATGGGGAGACAGTTGCCATGCAGTGTCCCTGGGTGGTAGCATTTCTAGAAAATAATCCTGTGGGAACACAAACACAACTGCAACGTGATCGCACTGAGGTGTAGCTCTTAGGACAGTGGCTTGTGAGAAGCGGAGGGACACCCTGGACGGTTAAGCACAGTCTCTTCTTCTGGAGAGAGTGGCTTCTTGGAGGCGTGTGCACACGTGTGTAAGGACACCTCTTCTTTACGTACTTAAGTGTGGTTTGGGCTTTCAAGAAAATCGCAAGTACCTATTAATGTGTTAAGAATTTATAAAGGATATGGGTCCATCTCTCAACTTCAGCCAAGAGAGGCTTTTGACTTCCAGTGTAATAGAGGATTGTAAACTGATTACGGTTTACAGGGGCCAGGGGAGGAATGATGTGCCTCAGGTGAGGAGCCATGGCCATCTGCTCAGCAGGGACCTGGAGGGACGGAGTCCCTGTGGAGGGGCTGTGCCGGCACAGATGTGGGCCAGGGAGGGGCCCCCGCCTCTCCTTATCCGCGGAAGGCCTCCCCAGCAGCACCGGGTCTGGGGGCTCCGGGTGCAGGAACTCAGCGACGGACCCGGGGACAACCAAACCAGAAAAGCCGGGTTTGGCAGAACTCAGCTGAGGGGGCTCCGGGGTGGGCAGGCGTGCGGTCCCGTCCATCCTCTGCCCCATACCTGTTCACGGGAAGGATGTGGTATGGCATCGTTTCTGGAAGACCCTAGTCTTCCAGAAGTCCCTAGGACGGAGAGGATTCTGACATCTGCTGGAAAAGTAGAGACTGCAACCCGGAAGGGGGTAGCGAGATTGATTTTGCTTTACAATGATTTTTTTCCCCCTGATTTCTCCCCTATTACAATAGTAATGCATGCTTATTTCAGGAAGTACAGCAAAAATAAGAAGAGGAAAACCGTCCATAATTCTATTACCATTCCGCTGTGTTTCCCACTGGCAGAGCGATGCACCGAGCAATTATTTACGAGGTGACCCGTGAGGTGTGTATCGCTGCTCAGTGCTGGGGCTATGGCAGCGAACAAGGCAGACGCACACCTTTCCTCGTGGGGTGTGACGCTGGTGGTGCCCACAGGCATGAAGCATGGTCTCCCACACGACATTCCAGATAAGCATCAGGCAGGGACCCCAGCGATGGCTGTTTGTCTTGCTTACTCCGCACTAGCCTCGGGTCAGCTGCTTTACTGTGGTGAGGGTTTTCTGTACATGCTCTCGTTCGAGCTCCACCCTGGCTCTATGAGGCACTGCCGCCATCCCCCTGACACACCCCCCCCGACACACACACATCACAGATGAGGAAACGGATGCAGACAAGCCAGATCACCTGGCATCACTTGGGACCAGGTGGGATATGACTGCATCCAGCTGTGTACCAGCCTCACCACTCAGGTCACCTACAGAGCACACGACATTCTTCTCTCTTCTTCCCTTGCTAGGTCTGATCGCCACGGTGGCTCGGAGGTGCCGAGGCCAGCATGATGGACGACGACACAGAGCTGAGGACCGATGGAAACTCACTCCTAAAGGCGGTGTGGCTAGGGAGGCTCAGGCTGACCAGGCTCCTCCTGGAAGGGGGCGCTTATATCAATGAAAGCAATGACAAAGGGGAGACAGCTCTCATGGTGGCGTGCATCACCAAGCATGTGGACCAGCAGAGCATCAGCAAGTCCAAGATGGTAAAGTACCTGCTGGACAACAGGGCAGACCCCAACATCCAGGACAAGTCTGGCAAGACGGCGCTCATCCACGCGTGCATCAGGAGGGCTGGGGGAGAAGTGGTGTCCCTACTCCTAGAGAACGGGGCGGACCCCAGCCTCGAGGACCGCACTGGGGCTTCAGCCCTGGTCTACGCAATCAACGCAGATGACAAAGACGCCCTGAAGCACCTGCTTGACGCCTGCAAAGCCAAAGGGAAGGAGGTGATTATTATAACAACAGATAAATCCTCATCAGGCACCAAAACCACCAAGCAGTATCTCAATGTCCCTCCTTCCCCCAATGTGGAAGACCGGCGGTCACCACCACTGTGCATGTCTCCTTCAGAGATTGAACTGAAGGCTCCAGGCCTGGGCTCTCCACCCAGTGAGAGGGAAGATGATCTCTTCAGCCTCCAAACAGGGCATCTGAGTGGTTGCAACACCGCCAAGTCTCTGAATGAGCCTGGGTCACCCACCAGGAAGGTAGGGAACCTCAAGAGGGCCCGCCTGCCCCAACTGAAGAGGCTCCAGTCTGAACCCTGGGGCCTGATTGCGCCGTCTGTGCTGGCTGCTAACATGCGTCAGGACGAGACCCATGGCCCCAGCCCGGACGGTGAGGTCATCAAGAGCATCAGCGATGTGTCCTTCCCCAAAAGGGGGCCGCTCTCCAGAACCAACAGTATTGATGGCAAAGACCCCACCCTCTTTCCCACAGTCACGGAGCAGGTTCTGAAGATCGCAGCCTCCCTGGCACCAGCATCCTGGAAGGCAGCCTATGAGAAGGGTCAGTCTTCCCACCCTCGTCTGGCCCGAAGGGGAACTCTCCCTGTCGACCAGGAGAAGGTGGGTGTCAGTCCAGCAAGCCCCCCTGCTCTCAAAGATTCAGTGTCCCTCAAACGGCTAGAGAGTGATCTCCATGATTTAGAGTTACAGGCAGGGGCTGAGCAGCTCAGCTCGGGTTCCCTGGAGTCAAGCAAAGGGCCCTTGGACAGGAAGAGGCTCAACGGTTCCCTCCTGGCTCTCTTCCATGGCCCGCGGGAGTCCCTGGACGCTGCGCCCAGCACGTCCCCCAGCTCGGCGCGCCGCAGGCCACCGCATCTCCTGGAAAGGCGAGGTTCTGGAACTCTGCTGCTGGACCGAATTTCTCACACCAGGCCCGGCTTCCTTCCGCCTTTAAATGTAAGTGTGAACCCACCTATCCCTGACATCAGATCTAGCAGCAAACCTGCTCCCCTTGCGAGTGGCTTAAAATCCATGGTTCCCGTTGCTCCAAGTTCACCAAAGAGAGTTGACTTGAGAAGTAAAAGGAAGCTCCTCAGGAGGCACTCTATGCAAGTGGAGCAGATGATGCAGCTGTCGGACTTTGAAGAAGTCAGGACCTAGAAGCTTTCAGAGGGGTTTAAAAAAATCAGACTCTGTGTAGTTAACGAGAGGCACCACCATCTAGAGCAGCATAGCCGGGCAGACCCTGTGCATCCTGTGCGTCCCTCGGCCCTGGTGGCAGGGATGGAGCGGGGTGCAGCTTCCCTGCTGAAATGATCTCTGGGTTTGTACAGCTTTACTTGAAAAGAGCTCAGGATAATTGGGTTCTAGACACAAAATCACCAAAACAAAATTCTCCAATGGAAGGAAGCCTTCGGGGTTTGGAGGGAACACAGCAAGTACAACGATCCAGGCCCCTGACACCAGCTCTTCTCCACCAGACGAATAAGAACGTAGATCCCAAGACAGTATTCAAAGCACGCCCTTTGTAGTAAATCTATAAAGTGCCTACAGAGAAGATGAAGCTTTCACATGTGTCAGGATGTGCAGAAGCTCAACACCACCCCCTGAGCTCTGACATCTGGTAGCTGTGTTCCGTTCGAAGGAGAGAAGCAGACCTCCCCCATCAGAGAGGCTCTGGCGGGTGGAGCGCTGTCCAGCACGGTGCGCTCAGGGGCTTGCCCCACCCCAGCCACACCCTGCGTTCACGCGTACCCGTGGGTGTGTGGCGGGTCCCCAACTATTGTAACCATGTGTCCCCCGAATCCTGATGGGCCATACTTGGGGGCGCCTCAGAGACGAAGCCTGTCTCCCTCCCCCCCTGACACTAGCTCTGTGCCGAAATCTTGTGAAAAAACAGTCAGGGGCTGTTAATTAATTTGGAGTTGAATGTGATACAATTTCCAGAATCGACCCGTTTCTTGCTTGTTCTTAAGAAAACTTGACGAGATTCCCCCAAAGCCAGAATGATAAATAATGATGGGACAGGCAGAGGCAAAGAGCACAAGTGGGTGCTTCTCAGGCCGGAAGCTGTGGGACCGCACTGAATTCTGTAGCCTGAACATGTTAAGGGTTGCAGGACTGTCCTTTCAGCTACTCTTGTCTAGGTAATTCAAGAAAAATCCAGTTTCTGCTTTGCCTGAATTATCCACATGATGGGAGGTTTGTAGAAATGACCCGAACGACCCTTGCTAGCCACGTTGCACACACCCAAGAAGGGAAGCAGAGACTTAGCACATTTGGAGTGATGTAGGCACATTTCGGATAAAGACGTTCCCGGTTATCTCCCAGTTACTTTACCTTTCCTGTTGCTCAGATACGTTGGTTCTAGGGTTAGAAGAATTCGGTGGCCCCTGGGGGTTGTGTCCCTCAGAGGAATGAGTAAAGGCTCGGAGATTCGGGTTTGCATCCCTGTTTCATCATTCACCAACTTTCTACTCCCGCATTGGCAAAATGGGGTTGGCAGTGCTCCACCTTGAAACGGCGAGGGGGAATGAAGTGCCCGCTGCTGAGCCTGACACGGACAAGTAACTGGATAGCAGGTAGCTAATTCTGATTCACATCTTCAGAACTCTGAAGCTTCCAAGTCTCAAATAATACATAATACCCCACACAAGGTGGAATTAAGTCCAGCTGAAAAATTCAAGTGTCTCCTTGAGATCTCCAGTCATGCCCAGTACTGAGCCCTAAGTACGTTGTTAGAGTAAACTACATTCTGCCACATCAGCTCTACACATTACAGCATTTCTATAATGACATCTGCTAGACGGTTATCTGAATATCCCAAACCAAAGTGCTGATGATGCTTACAAATAAACCGAATGTTTATTTTTTAATCATTCCTCCCGGGCAGGCCCATACTCAACCTGGGCACTTTTGAAATTTTAGGTGGATGAGTCTTTGTTATTGGGGGGCTGTCCTGTGTGTGGTAGGAGGCTCAGCAACATCCCTGGCCTCTACCCACCAGATGCCAGGAGCATCTTCCTCCTAGTTGCGACAACCAGAAATTTCTCCAGACATGCTGCTGGGAGCAACATCACCTCGGCTGATCACCGCTGCTCGAGGAGGATGACAGTGTACCTGGCAGAAATCTGTCAAGACCAACAAAGCTGCACGAAGGTGTGGGTCTGGCTGGGTCAGCCCTCCCACTGACTTGAAGCCAATTGAATTATGCTTTAGTAGGATGACTAATCGATCCATAACTCGGGCCCTTGGGGTTCTTGGCCAGCACACATAGGGGAGTGCTAGTGGCCTTTTGTACTTTGCAGGGAGGGAAGCAAAGCACATAAGCTAGTGAAAACCTAGGGCTCACGAACTTGGTTTAGGGTGGAAAATCCATATGCTTCTCGGGACCACTGAGTCACGAACGGTTCTTACCAAATGGACGTGATTGCAGGCAAGGAAACAACTCTCCAACGCATTAGAGAGAATCATACCGACAACAGTTGATCTCAGCAGCTCATTAAACACACACACGTACCCTCCAGCTGTTGTTGCTGCCCACTAAAGCTAACCTCTGCTAGTAGATCTAACTGTGGGAATCTACTAGATCTCTGCTAGTAGATCTAACGCTACACACATGCATTTTTCCAAACCTTTAGCTAAGATTCGAAAGCCTAATTTATGCTAAGTAGTGAATGAGGCACATTCATAGCAATTAGCTCAGGCAGAACAAGAAACGTGATGGCTACTCATCCAGAATAACCTGTCGGTCCCACGAATGCCCACAGCAGGTGCTCCAGGGCCCTCATGCCTGCCTCCGTCACTTGTGACCTGTCCATTGGTCTTTCTGTGGACAGCCTCCAGGACAGTACCTTCATCCCTGTTTGACGTTGCATCAGCTGGATTAGATTGTTCCAGACTAGTACGACCATAACACTTTATCCCGCTCAATGCAGAAATAGGTGATTTTTGTCCACGTTAATGAACCTCACAAGGATGCTTCTTAAAAGCATATTTTAGATTCAACTATGTTTTCTAGATCAGAGATGAGCTTTTCTTTCCAGAACCCTAGTGTCACTACAGGAGTTAGCTGCAAACTGTAGTTAAGACTTTCTGGAATGTTTATCAAAATATATTCTAGAACAGGAGTCTGAAGTTTAAAAGTCTGGAGCTGCAGTTTAATTTCTAGGCACCCCGAAGCTGGTTTTTGTTTGTTTGTTTAAACCCACTGTCTTGATTCTCTTAGAATTTCATCAAGTAAACGGTGTCCTGCAAAGTGCAGGCTGTGTCCGACCCTCCTCCTTTGTGCGTGTTGGTGCTTCGGACCTACTGTGTGTTGCTTGCACTGGTTCTCTGTGGCATTAGACTCTGGTCTCAAGTTGACGACGTGCTCAAAGATGCGTCCAAATCCAAGTAATGGAACCGTCTAGATATTTCTAACATGTCAATAAAGGATATATTGCAATCCTTCAATAGCATGCCCCATTTTTGGTAGTGAAATTTCAATGACAAATATTACTTTTTCCTTACGATGGGGTTGACACGACTTCCTGGGAACATCAACCTTAGCAGACGCCTGATATTTTACGCATAATTTTAAAAATTAATTTTTACTTACACAAGTATTATAGTTTCTTCTTGGTGAAACCAAAGGCAAAGGACAAGATGGTGCATTTCCACGGTGAGAGGTGGGTGTCTCTTCTCTGCCCCCACTGCTTGGGGTCCCTGGGGGGCGGAGGGGGCTACCACACGCTGGTGTTGCTGGATCTCCCTCCTTGGGTCCTACGTCTAATGTCGATGAGTGTTAACATAAGCTCCTGCTCAAGGACAGGGCATAAGTGTCAAGTGTCTAGCCCTTGTCTCTTAGAGTCCGGGGTCTGAGATTCACATTTCATCTGCACTCCCTGATTCTCTGGACAGTTCAAACCTTACCTTTAGGTTCTCCCCTACTGAAATAACTTACGTTAACAAAAAGAAAAAAAAAAGGACTAGTTTCAGTATGTCTGTTTCCCACGTCTGTCTTCAAGAAAGGCAGGCCCACGTCATTTCTAAACCCCTAGAGGAGAGATTATGAGGGACTCTACCGGGGGAGGAGAAACTGATGGGACTGGTGGGGGAGAAGTGATGAGGGATGAGGCCACAGGGGTCCACCTGGAGGGAGAGGGGGCATTTCCAAGATTGACAGAAGGTTAGAAACTTGGGATCCCTTGAGTGGAACTTGTCTCCTTCCAGAGCAAAACCACAGAGGGGAGAGGCTGCATAGTGCATCCCGGGCAGCTGGGCGGGGGGTCAAGCTGGGCAGGAGGGCATGGGAGCTGCTTGCCCTGAAGGAACGCTGCAGCTTGGACAGTGCACACATCAGCGTGACTGGTGAGCCCGAACACTGTGCACTGTTGAAGACCGCCACAGAACGGGACTCCTCCATGACCGAGAGGGACATTCTTATTGTCTTCGTTAAGGTGGGGGATGGGGGGCAAGATCCATTTTAATTTGATTTAGAAAAGTAAAGAAGTGTGATGCTTCTTACATTCAATGGTAATGAAATGAAATTCACAGGAATCCGTGCTCTAGAGCCCATGGCATGCACAGCTGGGAAGGAAGAAACTTGTGTCACACTTGGAATTTGCCAGAGGGGGTGGAGTCCTCAGACTTCAGGGAACAAAAGGGAGGTAATTGTTCTGCGGCTGTAGTAATACTAGGTCAGGTCCACAGAGGGATTAGTGTTGACAGTTCTCACTGGGAATCCTTGGGTGTAGGTGGTTCTGGGATCGACTAAGTGTGGACAGAGGGTCCGAAGTCCTACAGTAGAAATGTAGCACTGCCCACTGGTGACAAAGGTCTGCATTATGAGGAAGGATGGGGAAGGAAGAGGAACAGAAGGGGAGAGGGAATATGAAAGGACCCAAGAGGTCAAGGTCCTGCCAGTGTGAACCAGCCCAAAGCAACAGCCCGTGGAGGAGTACCCCCTGGGATCTCCATTCTGGAGTCCTCTGCCTCACCCAGGATGATGGACCCAGAATCACAAACACTCCTGATCTAGAGCACAAAGGATTTCTCATATGGTGAGAGATAAGCGTCTAAATTAATTTTTTAGTTATCCCATTAGAATAAGGACTTAATCTTTTTTTTTTTTTTTTTTTTTTTTGCTGCCGTAGGCACTGTTGGTTGCCTATCTGGTTTGATTTCTCCCTTCTCCTCCTTTCTGTTAGATCCTGATTTTGTTCATGTAGTCACTCAATATCCTTGCCTCTCTTTTGACTGAAGCTAAGCTGCTCCATCCCCAGCTCCCTCCAAGGGAAGTCCTGATTGGCCTGAGTTAATCATGACATTCTCCTTATCAGCAATTGGCTAAAGGATCTAGCCTAAGCCAGCCACCATGCGGCTTTCCTCCTGTCAGTGCCTTAGATCCAGAGATGGATGCATGGCCTAATTGGGCCAACTGGACTGAAGGGAAGAACATACGTCCCATGGTTGAAAGGTTTTCTCTTCCTTCCACGAGACATGACCAAATAAACATAGTGTCTCAAAGCTTATTTGTTTGGTTTGACAACCCTCTTTTGACAATGAGAGAATAGAGTCTAAGGATAAAGCCAACATGAAGAGGGGGGTAGAGCTGGGAGGAAAGTGGACCGGAGCCTTGATCGTGCTATGCCTGCAGCCTGCATCACATCTGAACTTTCTGTTACATGAAACAAGATATTCTTGTGTCATTTAATCTAGTTAGAGTTGGTTTTTCATTTACTTGGGACACCATGTGAATTGGTTGTTTATTCAGTCTCTGCTTGAATATTTTAATACGACAAATACATCAGTACCCCCTGTTCATTTATTTTTGGAAAGCCCTAATTGCCAGAAATTCCTTTCTTATGTTGAGTTGAAATGTACCTCACTGTCAGATTCATGCTTTGTCCCAAGTTACACAAGATGGGACATGCAGGACAGATGTACCCGAGGTACGGGTGGACACAGAGTGCTTGGTGGGAAGCATGCTATCTTCAGAGTCAGGCAGATCTGAGTTCAGTTGCTTCACCATTAATAAGCTGAGTTGAGTTTGGGCAATATGGCAGTTTGTTTAACGGCCACAAATTCCTGCCATCCCAGTACGCTCCTCCTCTGAATGTGACTTAGAGCTCCTCCCATCCAGAGATGGAGTCTAATTCTTTACCTTGAATCTGGGCTGGCCTCGGGACTTGCTTTGGCTGACAGAATGTGGCAAAAGTGATACTGGAGGGTAATTCTTGGGGGCAGGGCTTGCTGTTTCTGCCCTGGCTGTCTTGGGATGTTGCCCCCCGCCTGCCATATAAGGAAATCAGGTACACTGCAAGAAGCACAGGATGCATGGAGGGCTGAGCGCTCTAGCCAACAGCCCCCATCAGTTGGCACACATGAGTGGGACCGTCTTGGACCTCCAGCCCAGAAGACCCTCCAGCTGAAGGCAGCTGCGGGAATAAGCTCAAGCCAGACTAGCTGAAGAACCATCCAGCCAACCGATGCAATCATGAGAAATTGTGAGTCATTGTCGGTTTAAGCCACGGGGTAGTTTGTCACACAGCAAAGGCCGACAGAAGCAGAAATGTGATTTCATTAAACATCTTCTGTGTCTTTATTGTCAAAGGAAAAAAATAATACTTTTTTTGCTGGTTGCTAGTGAGAATTAATTAATGCAAAATACGTAAAGTGCATATGTAGCTAGCACTGCGTGCTAAATAAGAGGTAGCTGTCATGATTGCTGTTAATGCAAACTGTTAATGCAAAGTTAACACTTTCTTCACCCTTAGATTTTTTTATTCTTTGAGGTTCAGTCCTGTTTCCTCTGACTTTACCTGGTTTGAGAAGTCTTCCTGGCAATTTACTATACTGGCCCCCTCCTAATTACCCCCCCCCCCCCCATTTTATTGCTGTTCTTCCTAAAGTAGTACAACACAGGTGCTCTGATCATTGCCTGTGACCGCGTAGCAGTCGCCTCCAGCAACAGCACCTTCCACGGAGCAGGTGCTGAAATAGTGCTGTTCCTTTATTAACCCCGCGCAAGTCAGGGCTCCTTTTCCAGTTCATCCATTTCCACCGTCTGACATTCTGCCACCGGTCGATGATCAGTCTTCCAATGCTCTGGCCTGAGCGACTGCCAAGTCAGGATTCCCGCCTCTGAACTTATGCAGGTGTTTTCTTGGAACTTAAACATGGGACTTAACATTAAACCCGGCAAAATTCCTTTTAGTTAGTCCTAGCTTAGCACTCCAGCTGGCCAAGCTCATTTTGCTCTTACATCTGTCATTTGTTTCCTCCCTTGGTGCGTCTTACATGTTTCCTTAAATCAGGAACTAAGAAATAATGTTCAACAGCACAGAGCCAGGGAAAGAGCCTCAAGGCACACCCCTCCACACCTTCTCTGAGTATGGTACAGAGTCAGTAAATATTAACAACGACATTATGAGTACGGATTGCTTTCACATCGCTTAGCACATTAATGCACAGTCCAGTGTGCCGGGTGGCAGTCCCTTCCCTCTCATCCACGTGGAGGTCTATAAGGGCCGTACTGTTCTTGGCTGAAATCAAGACACCCATCTGATAACGCTGTCCTGAAAACATTCTTAACTGTATAGCCAGACCACAATCGGTGTTTTTCTCTTTGTTTTACCTGATCATAGAATATAAAACCCTGTAGTAATGACCATACAAAATATCTTCCTGGGCCAATGGTAATGGATTAAGCAGTGAATCAATTTATCAGCTTTCGGGGCTTTTGAGAAGTCAAAGGGAAAGAAAGAGGGTTTTATCCCAGAAGAAGCTTCACTTTGTCTTGATCGTTGGACATCTGCGTCGCCGAGGGTAAGACCCTTGTTGGCATCCACGTGAGCGCAGGTGTGAGAGCGCGGGTCAGCTCCCAGCACTGGCCGCAGCCCCTGCACCGGGGAAGGAATGGTGTGTTCACTGGGCTCCCAAGCTTGGTTCCTGCAGCCTCCTGCGGTGCGGGCACGCCCACTTGCTGCACCCCGAGGCCGGTCCTCCCGGGTGGTGCGGGACCTCCGCGGCAGAGCCCCCCGCGTTTCCTGCGGCCGCTGTGGCTGGTGGGGCGGGGGGCGTGTGGCCCTGGTCCGAGCCCAGGGGACGCTGCACCCCGCGGAACCCGGAGGTGCGGACAGCGTCTGCTGGGCCCGCGCGCAGGGTGCTGGACTGCCCCCCCCCCACCCCGCGGCGATCCCCCGTGCTTTGTGCAGCCACTGTGGCTCCTAGTGGTGGTGGTGGTGGGGCGTGGACCTGGGCCGATCCCGAGGGATGCTACCCAGCGAGACCCCAGCCGAGGGCGCCCCCACGCCACTCCACCCACTGAGGCCCTCCGCCTAGCAGGGCTCCGCTGGGGGAAGGGGCGTGGCCTGCCAGCTCAGCCAGCGCGCACGCGCAGCGGGGAAGGGGCGGGGTGCCTCTCCACACGCGCGGCTGCGCACCAGGGCCCCCGTGCTCCCGGAAGCGCCGCTGCCGCGCCACGTCCGCGCCCCGCGTGCCCCGCCTCCCGCAGCCGCCGCCGGGCGGGGACCCTACGAGACCCGAGCCGAGCGCCATGGGCCGCGCGGGCTCGCACCCGGCCTCGGCGCCGCTGCTGCTGCTGCTGGTGCTGCTCCGGGCCGAGCGGCTGCCGGGCGCCGAGCTCACCTTCGAGCTGCCGGACAGCGCCAAGCAGTGCTTCCACGAGGATGTGGAGCGGGGCGCCAGGTTCTCCCTGGACTACCAGGTGAGGCCGGCCCCCGCGGCGCCCTGCTCGGTGGCCGGAGGGGCGCGGGCCCTGCATCCCGGGCAGCGACCACCCTGGCCGCCGGCGCGCCCCGTCCCACGCGTCTGGGGTCCTTTGTCCCGTGTGTACTCACATGCGCCAGTGGGGAGGAAGTGGGTTCGGGGTGTCGTTCCCACGCTGCTCCGCATCTGCAGCTGGGCGTGGGGTGAGCAGAGCTGTGGTGTTGCCACACGCCGCTGCCAGCTTCTGCCCTCCGCTCCCCTCCCACAGACCTCAGGGCACGCGGTGGGGGCGGGCAGACCTAGGGTTGGGGGCCGAGTGGGGAAGGGTCCCCAGGGCAGCCCCCTGCTCGTGGACACTCCGGGCATGAGGTGGCCTGGGCAGCAGGAGTGAGGGCAGGCCGTCCGTGGGTCCTCGCTGTCCAGAGCCGTCAAAAGAGGCGTGTACTTGGGACAGCGTGGTGTGGGATGGCCCCTGGGTTGCACAGCATATAAGTTGTGGCCGGGTTAACCCCACCCCCACCCACCCAGGCACAGTCACTACAGAATGATCATTATGAGACTAGCGGGGCCTGGGAGGTCGCCCGGTCACTGCTCGGTCAGGAATCCCCTGTAAAGAATGGTCAGCACGGTGTAAACACCTCCAGCAACAGGGCACTCACCACTTCACAAAGTAAATTCTCCTCCCATCTGCACAAAAAGGAACTTCTGAAGTTTGGAAGCAGATAAAGGCTGCTTTGGTTCAAGGGACTGTGTCCCTTGATGGACCTTGGTTATAGCCCTTGACCGCCTGTATGACCCTGCTGTATGACATCTTTCTTAGGTTTATAAAGCTAGTTTGAACTAGGTAATTCCCGAGGACCCTCTCAGCTCTGATTGCCACTGAGTCTATGAATGCTTTAATCTGTATTTGCCTTCTTGCATTCGATCAGTAATAATAGGAACGTTTACTAGACCCCCTCTGCAATCTACTTGAGCTTGGAGCCTCAGTCTCCTCTTCTGTAAAATGGGAAGGATCAAGCTCCTTGCACCCTTGCAGAGCAAAACCTCTGGGAGTCAGTCAGGGATTCAGATCTTAGCCCTGTTACTTTCAAGCAGTGTGACCATGGCCGATTTCCTGAATCTCTCTTAGCCTCAGTCTAGTCCGCAGTAAAACAGGGTCCTAGCACCTGCTTTAGAAAGTTGTGAAGATTACCTGGGGAAAAAAAAAAAGTTCATAAAGTCTGATCCCGGTGTCTGGTCGGCTGCCCCGCTGGTCATGGCAGACTGTGAGTGTCTTTGTGGTTGTAGGTCATCACCGGAGGCCACTACGACGTGGATTGCTACGTGGAGGACCCCCTGGGGAACACCATCTACCAGGAGACCAAGAAGCAGTATGACAGCTTCACGCACCGGGCTGAGGTCAAGGGTGTTTATCAGTTTTGCTTCAGTAATGAGTTTTCCACCTTCTCTCACAAGACCGTCTATTTTGACTTTCAAGTGGGCGATGAGCCCCCCATTCTCCCAGACATGGGGAACAGGGTCACAGCTCTCACCCAGGTGAGTGGACATGGGCCGGCCTGGGCCGGCTCAGCCTTCAGCCTGTTCCTCCTCTTCTCTTCCTGTCTTGGCCCATGCTCAGCGTCACCACCCCCTCCCCTCCCCCCAGCCGCCGGGCTGGAAGACTCAGGGTTGCTTCACCTCTTTGCACGTCCGGTCCTCAAGCACACCTTCCCCTTCTGAGCCCCCTGCACTGTTTTGCCACATCCCTGCAGGACCTTCCTCCGGAATTCCTGGGTTCCGGCTCAGTCTTCCACACAGCACCACTGTGGAAGGGTCTTGCCGTGCCCCCCTCTGCTTACACCATATGTCTGCGTCATTAAGACCAAAGGCCTGCTTCGTATGCTTGCTCAGGTAATGTGAGCCGCTACGCCCCAGGTGTTGATGGCCTAAGGGACTGACTCAAGAATCGGGGTTTCTCTTTCTTGTCATCTGTCTGCTGTCTGTCAGGGCTTCAGGCCCCTCTGCGTCTGGCCACCAGAAGAAGGGAGCAGTGAGAAAGCCCCAGCTGTTTCTTAAACACCCTGGCCCAGAAGTGATGCACAGCACGTGCACTCACGTCCCATTGCTGACAGATGGTGGTGTGGCACATCTGCATGCAGGGAGGCCTGGCAGATCATCATCTCTGTCATGTGTGGCTCTCGGGGTCAATGATAATCTGATCCCAGGCTCCTTCACCGGTCTCCCCACTGCTAGTAAAGCTCCTGCCTCTCGTGTGCAGGCTCTCAGCTTCCCGAGGCTCGCATTCCATGTCATGTCCCTGAGTCCCAGTGCTTGGAGCTTGGCACGGAGTTATTTGTCAAATCACTGAGAGGCAGGGCCCAGGGAATCCTGCAAGACAGGAAGGACTGTGGTGGCTGCACTGTTCTTGAACCAAAGGCAGAGTGTCTGAGTCTCCAGGCAGGGCCAGAGCACCTTCTGGGCTGCCTCCAGCGTCTCCCCACTCCGTTCCTCTGTGGCTCTGCCCGTGGGTTCGTCTGCCCTCCCCATGCATGGTGGAAGGTTAGTGCTGCACGTTCCAGTATCATGGTCTGGCTACATAAGGCTATCTTAACTTAAATGCATTAAAATTAAATCAAAAGCTCCCTTCCTTGCTGGCTCTATAGCAGCATTTCTGGTGCTCAGTATCGCAGGTGGCTAGTGGCCACACATGGACAGTCCTGCTGGGCAGCACTGGGTCTGAGCCTGGCCGTGTGACCTCTGGTGGAAGATCCAGCCCAGGCGGGTTCTGTGCGGGAGCTTTCACAACCTATGCTGGAGAGTTCTGTTGTCGCTGATGAAACAGCCTCCATGCTGGAGATTTTGAAGCTCTCTAGAAGCTGAGCTCAAGGGCTTCCCTCTTACCAGTGGAAAACAGAGCGGTAGAGAAAAGCCTGCATGGTTGGTCAGTGCAACAGAGAAATTCTTTCCTGGAGCCTTAGAATTAGATTTGGTTTTGTTGCAGAAAGACTGATGACATTTCCCCCCACTGCGTCGCTGGACGTCATGTTTTCCCCTGCTCAGCCTCAGATGAGGGGTTTCCTTCCACTGTGTAACCCCGGACCCCTCTGCCTTGAATGGGAGTCTGTGCCCCCAAGAGTTCTCACCCCCCCGTGGTGGGCACTTGAGCCGTCTACGCGAGGTGCTGGCTGGGGGCAGCCTGAGATGAACGGCCGTGTCCCTGGCGTGGGCAGCTCCGCGGGGAACACAGCCCTGAAAGCCAGTTAGCCGCGGGGCACAGTGATCAGAGCTGTGGGTTATGGGAGGGCTCTCGGGAGGGGCCGGTTGATCCCAGGGAGTCAGGGACCAGCAGGTGCAAGTGTAGGGGTGTAACTTTCATTTTCTTCCCTGGTCCTTATTTTCCTTGCTCGGCGTGGGTCCCCCGTTGGCCACCGAGTTCTCACTTGCCCCCAGACCTCTTCGAGCTCAGTGGTGGCTTAGGGGCCATGTTTTCTGGCCCCAGAATCCATACTAGGATGAAAAAGCAGGCTCCAGAGTGACCACGGTCCAGGCTGGGGCTGTAGGCCACGGGGACTTATCTCCGGCTTGGGCTCCAGCATGACCAGGCTCCCAGGAGAGGCCTGGGCTGGGAGGATGCCCCCAGGGCGGCCGTGCTTCCCGTGCTCAGGGCATCCTGAGGGTCTGGGCAGGTCCTAGCAGAGGCCGAAGCTCTGGTCAGAGGTTCGGACGTCAGAGGCCCGGGGCTGCCTCCGTGGTGGCCTGGGGAGGGGTCGGTGTTTCCCTATGTCTGCTCTGAGGTCAGCTCGTGCTTGCCTGTCTCTGCGTTCTTGAAGTCTGTAAAGAACCAAGTTCTCCTGCCAGTGGAGGCCCTGAGGAGGCGAGGCCTGGGGGAGTTTGCTGGGGGTTGCATCGCCAGGTGGTAGGGACAGGGTGGGGTGGTGTGACAGTGGAGGAAGAGGACAGCCCCGGGAGGGGGACAGGTCATGGCGTCTCCAGGGACTGACTGTCCCGATGGAAAGTGACCAGAATCCCTGGGGGGGGGGGCTCGTAGACTCTGGAGAGCAGCCAGGGCTGGTGGTCTTGGCAGAGTGGAAGGCTGCGCCCCCGCCCACCGGGGCCCACGGCCCTGGGAAGGCAGGGCTCTTCCAGGGACAAGCGATTCTGCTGGCCTCCTGCCCGGTGGGAAGCAGGCTGGACGGGTTGCCGAACTGAAATGTGGTAACAGGCCAAGGAGTGCCTTTCAGACAGTAGGTCCGGTGGAAGATCCCAGTGGGTGGGACGGAGCCTGCTCTTAACGGGAGCGGGACGCTGCCGGGGGTCTGTGAATCTCGTGACGTGTTGCTCTCGGGTCTCCTGTGGGGCCCGCGCCGGGAAGGCTGTGTGAGCACCTGTTGCCCTCTGGGAACTGGCCTCCTTCCCTGTCATGGATCTGATCTGAGACTTTAAAGTCACCGCGGCTTGTCTTCCCAGAACCGTGGTGCGGGTCTCTGGCCTGTGACCTCTGACCCGGGCTTGAAGGTGGTGCCTTACATGGCATCTGGCGTGTCCTCTTCACCTGTGACTTGTGAGTCCTCCCTGTTCCTCTTCTTCATCCCTCCCTCTGTTTGCAGTGATTCTGGACCCTGGGAGGAGGCTGGACATGCCGGCCTGCACTGCCAGGCCCCCAGGGTGCTCCCAGGTCAGGTGAGCCCAGCGTGCGCAGAGTTTCTGAATGAGCTTGGGACAGAAATAAACTTAGTGGATTTCTAGCCTGGAGACCCAAACGAGCCCTTTTCTTGTGTTTAAAAACAAAGTCTGTGTATTTATGCATACTAAGTGCATGTGCATGTCCATACGCTCACACACGAGCACATGCACATATGTGCGTGTGTGTCCCCATCCAACCCCCTATTTCAAGGATGACCTGCCTGTCGCTGGGTCCTCTCAGTGCCCAGGTCCGCTCTTCTGCCACCATAGAGCACAGCCCCCTCCAGACTGGCTCTCTCCGGCCCCTCTCAGTGTCCTGGCTACTGGGGGCCTCGTAAAGTGGGGTTCTGAACTTGCCATCCTGCTCACAGTACTTTGCAGTGAGGGGTCCATCCTGAGGCCTTGACTGTGAGCCCCCCCCCCCATGCTTCTTCGCACACATCCCTGAGTCCGGCGGCCCTCCCTGTGCCTCACCTGTGCTTCTATCGCTCGGCTGCCTTCTCTCCCCTGCCCGTCCGCTGGGCGCAGCCTCGCCCCCCGACCTGGGCACTTTCCGTGGGAAGAGCGCCTCCCCCTCCTCTTGCAGGATTAGCAGCTGTCCCCTGGGCGGTCCCACAGCTCTGGATGCCCTCCTGCTGGCTCCTTTCGGGATGCATCCAGTCTGTTCTCCTTTAAACTTGTTGACATTCAGGACTGTGTCTGTGACCCATTTGTCTCCTTGTTCCTTGGGCCCCACACAGCGCCTGGGAGCTGAGGAGGGATCGCTGTGCATGTGAATGAACATGTCAATGGACGTTTCGGCCATGAGAGAAAACCCCATGTCATCTGAAATTCCCGTCTCGTTCTTATAGGCGCTCCTGCGGAGCCCCCGGCCCCTGTCGGTGATTGTGGCCTTGCAGGGATGGGCAGGCTGATGTGAACACAGGACCAGTGTGACCCTCCACATCTCCCTGTGTCCTAGGTAGTGACCGCAAGTGAGCAGAAGGAGGCTTCCGGAGATGCCATATCTAGATTTGGCCTGGACACAGGCTCACAGGGGTCAAGCCTGACCTCACACTGCAGCCGCTTCCCCGGTCCTTCCCGGGTTGGTCCCCCATTCGCTCTGTGATGGTGGCTGTGACTTCCTGAGCTCTGGAGGTGTCAGCGGAAGAGCTGGGGGAAGCGCGCCTCCAGCAGAGAGCTCTGTGCCCTGAGTGGTCCTGCTGGTGGCTGTCACTTGGAAGTCTCCTTCAGGGTCAAGTCTGTGATGTCAGGAACCCTTCTGGGATCGGTTGGCCATCTCTCAACATCAAACAACTGTAGGTATGAGCTATCTACTAAACGTGGGGCAGGTGAAGATACCTGGCACCGACCAGTCTGGGTGTGAGCCCTGGCCCACGATCACAGGGCACGCAGGATGCCACCAAGAATGCAGGATAAAGGCACCCCTTGGGGGACCCACTGAAGCCCAAATGGGCCTGTTCTTTCCCGTGGATTCTGCCCCTCCACCCCCTGTCCCGTGGAGCCCCATGAATTCCATGTTCTGCACGGTGACCTTGTCACTGTCCATCTGTGTGGCTTTTCCCCATGGGCCAGAAGGACAGTTCTGGCCCCTGTGTTTGGAGGGAACCCGTGGCCCTGGGAGGTGGGCCGCTCATCAGGCAGATGCAGGATGTGGCCTTGTAGGAAGCCCTCATCCTTCCTCACGTGGTCCAGAGTAGGGAGTGCCCAGCCGGGAGAATAAGCCAACAGGACTTCTTGGCCGGGGTCTCTCATTGGTCTCCTGGACACTGTTCAGTCTGTGAGAGAAACGGGGGTCTTAGGGTCGGTCAGGTGGTGGCGCAGTGACTCGGTCTCCCCTCCCTTCTCACGCTCACTGTATGGACAGGTCACCTCTGCAGTCTGGGGACCGAGGCAGGTATCTCCTGGACGCTTTGTGAGCTTGTCTAGCCTGAGAATGTGTTGTTGGCATAGAACTTTGTAGGTTTTGCATGAACTCATGACCTCCCATGGGCGCATGGGTTAGTTCTTCGCTGACTTCTGACGGCCTCAGACAACATCCCTGTATTGTCTCTCGCCTGGCAGGGTCCAGGCCGGGTCAGGGTGTGGCCAGTGGGATTTCCTCATGAGGCTCTGGGAGGGATCTGGTACCACACCCGCCGGGTTGTTGGCGGGTTCAGTTCCCTGCAGCAGAAGGTGCTGGGGTCCTGGGGTGCTGGGACGGTTTTGGCGTTCTGCCTGGCACGCGTGGTGTTGGACCAGGGAGAGGAGGTTGCAGGTTAGCATGTGTCCCGCGTGAGCATCTGTGTGTAAGCACGTTTGTAGGTATATATGCTTTGGTGTGTGTTCCTGTGTGTGTGTGCATATGTGTGTACGTGAAACTGTCCGCAGCAACTGTAGCGGAATGGGGCGTCCTGCATGATTGTGGTTTACTTCTCTGCTGTTAGCTGTGTGACCTGGGGCCAGTCCCACGGCATCTCTGAGCTCCAGTCCCCTCGTCAGCACGTGGGATGAGCGGGCTGTGGGGAGTCAGGAGTGTCAGCACGGGGCGGGCGTGAGAGGCGGTCAGGGCGGGTCCTGATGCTGCCACCTGCCATGGGACGCTGGGCAAGGGCCCTAAGCCCCCCGGGCCCCAGGTAGGCTGAGTGCAGAGGCTGAGCTGAACCGTGGCCTCCCTTAGCGCACACGCACAGTGCTCGCTTCAGCATGGGCGCCGGGGGCCACGGGGGCTGCGCGTGGATTCCTCCCTTCCTGTCTAGCGGAGACTGGGACCGCCTCTCTCTTCCTGCCCAGATGGAGTCCGCCTGTGTGACCATCCACGAGGCCCTGAAGACGGTCATTGACTCCCAGACACATTACCGGCTCCGCGAGGCGCAGGACCGGGCCCGGGCCGAAGACCTCAGTAGCCGGGTCTCATGCTGGTCCATCGGCGAGGTGATCACCCTGCTGGTGGTCAGTTTCAGCCAGGTGCTGCTGCTGAAGGCCTTCTTCACGGAAAAGCGAGCCAGCCCCCGGGCGCTCCACTCCTAGGCCCCGGCTTCTGCCCCGGGGCCCCGCCCCCAGGCCCCTGCTGGGCCCCGAGGGCCAACCTGGGGTGGGGCCGAGCCCCTGGGGGTGGCACCCAGCTGTTTTCTCCTCGAGCCCGGCCGCTGGCGATCTGGAGGCAGCTAGCCGCATTACGTGGGTCACACCGAGAAAAGTGTACAGTCAGGCCCTGACTGTGGGGGGGGGGTCTGGTTGTAGGGGAAGCCCAGGTGCCCCGGCCTCATGGGGCGGGTACCTCTGCTCCACGGTGCGTGGGTCGTCGGGCTCGGGTATGTCTCCCTCTCTGATTTCATCTTGTTTCGTTTTTCCCTCCCTTCCCCTGTGATCCTCTGTCTTGTTTCTCAAATTCCTCGTATCAGTGAAGTCATACGATACTTGTCTGTCTCTGACTGACTGACTTCACTTAGCATCGTACTCTCTAGTTCCGAAAACACTCGAGACTTGCCAGGAAAACATTGGCCAAATGAGAAGTAAGGTAGTAAGCTTAGCGTCGGACAAAGCATGGTTCTTGGGCACCCTATCTCACTAAATGGGAGCATTACACGCTGTAGTCGTGACACAGTAAGAAACACACGGACGTCTCCATCCCCAGGCCCTGGCACGGCTCCTGAAACTCTCACAACTCTCACAATGTCTAATGAGGCGACTCGGGGGGGCTCCTGGATGGGGAGCCGGTCACGGGAAAGACCCCCGCCGTGCTCAGAAGTTGGGAACTTTCAGCCCCATGCCCCATTCTCCAGAGGAGGGGGTTGGAAAAAGGTCACTCCAAGGATGGATCATGCCTACGTGGAGGAGCCTCCGTGAAAACCCCAACAGTAGAGGGTTCGGGGAGGTTCCGGGCTGGTGCACAGGCAGGGGTGCTGGAGAGGGGCGCCCCTGGGGAGGGCACGAGCTCCACCCCTCCCCACACCTCGCCCTATGCCTCTCCCCACTGCTCGCCTGCCTCCTTTATCATATCCTTCGGTAACAAACCGGTACACAGTAACTAAACTGCTCTCCCGAGCTCCGGGAGCCACGAGCAAATCAGTGGAGCTTGACAAGGGGGTCGTGGGGACGTCCAAGCTGCAGCCGGGGGTCAGAAGCGCGGGTGACAGCCTGGCCTTGCGACTGGCGTGTGGCCCAGGGACGGTCTGGTGGGGCGGGGCCCGTGGCCTGTGGGATGTGGTGCTGTCTCTGGGTGGACGACGGGGGAGTGACGCCGTAGGACACCCCGCTGGTGCTGCGGAGTTGCTCGTGGGGAACCACCTGCCATCAGAATCTGAGTGTCTCATGTGCTAGAGCACAGCAGATGCGAGGGAAGACCGGGTGCCCATCATCAGCGGATGTGGCTGAAGAGCAGCATGCAAGCACCTGCAAGGACTCCCCTGCTCAGAAGGAGAAGATCTGGCCCTTTCCCGCCAGAGCCCCACACGCCCGAGGCCTCAGGCTCCAGAGCGATGGGTGCAGGAGCTCTCCTGCTGAAGCAACGGGGATGAGCTGGGGGGGGGGGGGCCCTCAGGGCACACGAAGCTCCTGTTTTACTAGAACCTTCCTCCCTTTAAGACTCTTGAAAAGGATCGATTTTCTCTTAAGGACAGTGCTCAGTTTTTATGCCCGGATACGGACAGCAATCACTGGATAGCTGATTGTCATCGGGAACGCACTGCCTTCGGAGAGGGTTGGCCACTGTTCTGGGGCGGGACGGGCAACTCCCCAGACAAGTCAAAGCCTGCGCCCCGTTCCTAGCTGTCACTGAGCTGCAAGGGGTCAGCGGTTGCCTCCTGTAGGCCCCGGGTCCCAAGGATCCAGTCTCTGTCCTGGATGAGGTTCCGAGCAAAAGCCTCCGGTCTACTGTTCATGGTGTTTTATTCTGGGCTTTCACGGTGTATGATACGGAGCAGGGAGAAGCTTCATTTTCCTCACTGTCCGAGTTTCGGGTCCATCTGGCCACCGGGAGAACTGTGGATGATGTGGATGGAGCCCGTGGGCCTCCCGGTCTGCCGGGCTGCCACCGCACCTGGATGTGCTCCTTCTCAGCTTTAAACCCCGCATAGCCCCATCCTCTGTATTCTAGAGAGTCCTCAGCTCTGGAGAGCCGCGAGCCAGGGTGCACACATGCTAGGACTTCACCTGCAGCGCATCTGCGGGGAAAGCCACTCCCCTATGACATTTCTTTATGCAGAATTACAAGAATGCAGACAGAACGTTCTTGGCCAGACTCACACGCAAGCACAGTCTAACACAGGCGAACGACAGGTTACGGAACAGGTTTGGGGAGCACCTGCTTTTCCAGTTCTGGTGCAGTCTTGGGCTCAGCTCCTCCCTGTTCCCCTGGGACCCGCCCATTGGACCTTCTGGGTTACGTGGGAAACAACCGTCTTTCGCTTCATGTAACTCTAGACATCAGCCTTTTTCACCCTCAGAACTGCTGAGCTGTTGCAGTTCCTAATTCTGACACAGCTTGATGCTGTTTTGCTTCTGCTCGTTTGTGTTTCTCAGTCCAATATTTGGCCACAGGAGAAAACAGGTTTCACATATGGCTTGCTTCTTCACATTCGCTATCACATCCTGGAGAAATCCTCCAAGAACTTGATCAGACTGTTTTCATCATTTGTAGGTCTATTTTTGCCTTTCGATAGCACATAGGAACCAGTGCAGTCTCAGCTGAGTGTGTTCAAGCCAGACTCTGGTTTTTCTGAGGCTCCCAAACCTCTGGGTTTGAAACCTCGCTGAGCATAAGCAACGGCAATAGAACATTCTCAAATGAAGTGAAACAGGGTGGCGTCTCCTTCAAGCATGGTCCGGTTTGAAACCAGTCTGGTTAATCGATATGCACTCTCCTGAGCTCTAAGACACTGGAGAAAACATGTCCCGCTAAGCACTTGAGATTATCGCGAGTCAGGAGCAGGCTTGTAGATGACACACAAGTTTACCTAGTAAGCTCTTAGTAGAGGTCATGGCGTGAGAGTAACCGTGCTAAGAGAAGGGTCTTGGACTTCTGACGTAAGAAGGCGGACTCCTTCCTCTTCTCCCTCCCACCCCCTGTTGTGTGAGATAAACCCAAGCAGATGAGAGTAAAATAGAATTTAAATCCCTGAAACCAGAGAGAGGTCACAGTCCCAAATTACTAGCTGTCCAATTCGGTGATACACGAAAGGGTTGGGGGAGGGGGGAGATGCCTGGAGCGGTTGTAGCGGGTTGAGACTTTCCTAAGAGAAGGAGGCCTTATCCTGAATGGCCGAGCAGCAGAGCCTGGAATGGTACTTCTAGGGGCCGTGTGAGCGGCCGAGGTGGCCCCCGCTCGAGTTCTCTCCTCCCAGGGGTGAGTGGGTGCGGTTGGAGGAGAAGCTGGTCAGACGGGTGGGCAGGAGACGGGGCAGGTGGAGGGTGGGGGCCCTGGGGGCAATCTGCTGTGTAGCCAGGATCACACCAAATCTGCCCCCCGGCAGGAAAAAGGCAGCGGGGCTTTAGAGAAGAGTTACGAGAACTCGTAGACGAGGTTATACTACAGCGGAAAAGATGAGAAAGAGCTGTCAAGATTCAGGGAAAAACGTAGAAGAGGAAAAACCGTCACAGAAAGGGTCATCAGTTTGCAGATGCCAGGGGAACAGGTGCGGCCGGAATCTCAGGGAGGGAGGCTGGAGAAAAGCCTGGAAAGACTGCCCTGAATAAAGCGGACAGAGAACTCAGAGCTGGATGTTACTGGGGACAAACGGAGAGATTTGTACACCAGAGCGACTCCATCATGCAGGTCTGGGTGTCCCTGAAGAAGAAAACAGAACCACGACAGCCAAAGACCAAAGAGCAGGTGATCCACGAGGAGAAGAAATCTGTGATTTCCAACGTTTCCAGGACATGTACTGGAAGAAGACTGTGGAGTGGTGTCCAGGAAACTGCAGGAAAGAGTGCAGACCCAGGAAGATCGGGAGCTGCTCACTGCCATCCAGATACAAAGGCAGCAGGTGATGCTTTTAGAACTGGAAAGTCCGAGCGGGACAGCGCGCCTCTTCTGGAATAAACTGCCGGGGAGGAGCCGCCGCGAGCCAGCGCAGGAGAGAAGCAGCACACAAAGGGCATGCGCGTTTCTGCTAGCGCTTCGTCCGTGACGACGCCCCCCCGGGACCAGGGAGCCGGGGAGAGTCTGCTCAGAGTACATCGTATCAATCTCCATCACCGAACAGTGATTTAAAAATACAGCAAGTTGAGATTGAGAACTAGAGAGTGAGGGGAGATGGGCGGAGGTGCAGATGCTCACTTCCTTATTTTTCCTGCTGGGAATTTAAGAAATAATCCTCATTATGACAACCACAGAAGAAATTACACTGCACTCTTACTGTGGGCCAACCGTCATTTGAAGCGCTTGAGCTCTCCAGACGGCTCCATGACATGGCGACTAGTACCATTCCTGTTTTATCGTGGGGAAACTGAGGCACAAAGAATTTATTCAGCTTCCCCTGCAGCCATCTAGCTCATAAGAGTAAAATGAGGGATGCTCTTTAGTTTTCTCAAGAGTCCTTGAAAAAGAAGCTGGATTCATAAATGGATTAATAAAATCCATTCCTTTCTTCTTCTCTTTTTTTTAAACAGAGAGAGCTCCTGATTCTATCCTTTGTGAGTCTGGCTCCACTGAGGTGGGACATTTCTTGTAGACTGGCTCATGAGAAACAGAGAAATGGAAACAATAAGGGTTTATTACAGGAGATTTCCTATAGGAATTGGCTCACACGGTCATGGAGGCAGAGAAGTCCCCGGACCTGCCAGATGCAAGCTGCAGTAGCAGGAAAGCGAGGGGTGTTGGTCAGTCTGAGGCCGAGGGGGCCGTGCTGCGAATCCCGATGTGAGCCCGAAAGCCTGAGAACAGGGAGCACCGTGTCTGAGGGCGGGGGCAGGCTGAGTGTCCCAGCTCAAGCAGAGAGCAAATTCACCCTCCCCCACGGCGGGGTGAGGGTGGTAAGTGTGGGGAGCAGAGTCAGACCCCTGTCTGACTCCACCACACCCCACGTGGCCGCAGTGTCATGCACCTCTGGGTTGAGTGTCTTACTTCTGCGGTGAGAATAAACTCTCCAAAGGGAAATTGCACAAATGCTCCCAGCAGACACTGTTCTAAGTACTGTATTTAGCACCTTGATTGTTTTTTTCCATAAACTCCAAGTGAATTTCACCTTTTTCTTAAAACTGCAACGATGTGAGAAGTGACCACAAGAGGACAGTATAGAAACACCAGTGAAGCTCCGTTTTCCTTTTAAGGGTCTGGCTGGTATAAACCGGTCCGCTTCTGAGCAGGGAGAAATGTGTCTGCAGAGAAACTCAGTTGACGGGCATTATTCAGGGCTCTTCAGTGTATCACAGAATATCAGAGGCTGTAAGGGTCGTTGAGCAACGTCTTGGCTCCAACTTCGTGGTTCTTCCTGAGCCAGAACCTCCCAGCTGAGTCAGCCTTGAACTCCTGACCCCTGGAAAGTGCGATAAGCACGTTTGTGTTTGCAGAATCGGAGATTAGTCTGTTAGGCGGTAGTAGGTGACCAATACACCGGGCATGCCATCAACAATGAGCCAGCTGTGCAGGTGCTGCTGGGTACAAAGGAAGTCATTTTTCTAGGTTTTCCCTCATTAAGTGTGATCATTTTTCTCTATCTCAGTTTGACATAACTTGGAAGCGACATCATTCATTCATTCATTTTTCAGTAAGCACAACTGCTGGGAAGAACGGCATCAGTAAGAAAAGCCAACCATTCCTTCATGCCCCTGCTCACTACTTCATGCACCCGTGGATTCACTGAGGTCGGGGCTGGAGGCAGGGCAGGGCCCGCTGGGTGGAGGGCCAGAGAACCTCATTGGAGCAGGTGGCTCCTGGGCTGAGGCTGGGAAGCCAGCAGGGAAGGAAGAGAGCGGGAGGGAGCAAAGGCACAGGGGCATCCTGCAGCCTGAGTGCTCCGGAAGCCAGGACTCCAGCTGCCCCG